TTTTGCTCCTTAATAAATGGCTTAAAATCAACATCCCAGGAAGCATATTTTGGGGTGGGAAAACGTTGGTCCCCCTCAACACACGTTTATGAATACAGATAAAATCACCTCCCATTTCTCAAAAATGGTTATAGCATCCTTTTGATTAACTTACCACTCGCTATTTACCTTATTAAATAGTGTAATCATTACTGATAACTGAGACCTATTTATGTGTCTATTACTTATTGTCACCAAACTCTACAGATCTTTTGAAATATTCAAACACATCAAGTATTTGCTGGGTCACACTTTTCCTGGAGTCATGTCTCCAGGGCCCCCTGCTCCCATCTAGATGGTCCTCAGCCTGCATCCTGGGACCTCTTGCTGCTCCTCCATCAGGTTCCTGCTCTCCAGGCCCCGGAGAGTCCTTTCTTGACTTCTTCATTTTGGAGCATGTCCTCCAGCATGTCTCTGGAATGAAGTATTTGGTGGGTAATATTTTTGAGCTGCATGCCTTGAAAACATCTTTATTCTCGCTCCCACTTAACTAATAATCTCATTGAGAGTAGAATTCCATGTTAAAATTAATTTCTTCAGAATTTTGAAGAAAATGCCTTATTGAATTTCAGCTTCCTGAGAGTCTATGGAGAATTTCCGTGCCTTTCTGATTTCCAATGCCTTAAGTACGGCCCTTTTATTTCTTGTATGGAAGCTTTCTAGGTCTGACATTGTGTGATGATGTGCCCTGGTGTGGACTTTTTCAGGTTTGTTGTGCTGGGCATTTAGTTTGACCTTTCTACATAAGAACATGTCTTTACATCTGGCAAGTTTTCTTGAATTATTTCATAAGTAATTTCCTCATTTTCTCTTTTCTCTTTCCTGTAATTGCTATTTTCAGATGTTGAACTTCTTAATCTTGTAATTTTCTTATGTTTTCTCTTTTCCCATGTCTTTTTCTTTTTATTTTACCGTCTAACATATATCAATTTTATCTTATTTTTTATCAACTTTTGCACTTAAGTTATATCTTCCTGAATTTTCAAGAGCTCTTATTTTCTGAATGCTTTTTATATATCTTTACTTATTGATGTAATATTATCTTCAGAGACTGTAGATAATTAAGTTTTCCATAACATTTTTTCTTCCAGTTTTTTTTTTCATTTTCCCCGTCTTCCTCGAATGTCTGTTGACCTTTGGTCATCTGTGTATATTGAGGAGGGAGGCAGAAAGGTTTGGACGCTCTGCAAGTGGATGAGGACTGCCCAATGGCAGGACTCACTCAGGAATAAGGGGGGCGTTGGGCACCTGCCTCCCTTGCCTCCACTGTCCATGAGTTCAAACCTCCTGCCTGCAGTCTGGGTCCTCCCTCACATCACCGAGTCCCTGCTTCCATCTCTTTCCTAGGTTTGCTCTGTCTGTCTAGAAGTCCTCTTCTCATCCCGTCTCCGATCCCATCCTTCCTCCTGGCTCAGTTCACACGTCATTTCCTTACCACCTTCTTCATCACACGTTACAGGCCTTATTCTAGGCTTCGCTTGCTTTCTAAACTTAATATTTGTCTCCCCAACCACCCTGTGCGCTCCGTAGGACTAGAGACCGTCTCACACACTTCTTGGTGTAACCCTAGGCACCCAACCAGTAATAAGTGTGGCGCACGATTTGATTTTACTTGGAAAAAAATATATCAACAGGAAATGAAAGCCTGGTATGCCAAATGGAGAGGTCTCTTCACAAATACCGTATTTGCCGGCATATAAGACGATTTTTTGGCCCTGAAAAATATGCCTCCAAGTGGGGGGTCGTCTTATACGCCAGGTACACTTCAGATAGACTGCCCATAGTGCTTGCCCCGTGCCATAGTGGCCTCCCGATGCCCGCCCACTTCATTCCACATACCGTTCAGGCATCAGCAGCG